CTCTCATCTCTCTTCTCCTCTCTCTCTCGCTCTCGCCTCATGTACACATTCTCTATTTACTCTCTCTCTGTTCTCTTTCTTCTCTCCTATCTCTCTCTCTTTCGATCTCTCTCTCTCTTCTCTCCTCTTGCCTCTCTCTTCTCTCTCTCCTCTTTCGTGTCTCTCTCTCTAATCTTCTCCTTCTTTCGCTGTGTCTCTTGCTCTTCTCCCTCTGCTCGCCCTCTGCGCGTGACTCGCCTCTCTCTCTCTCCTCGTTCTCTGCTCTCTTCTCTCTCTACGCGCCTTGCCTCTCTCTCATAACATCCTTCAACATAACTCTCTCCTCTCCGTCTTCTCCTTTCTCTCTCTCTCATCTCTCTCTCTCTCTATCCTCTCTCGCTCTCTCTCTCTCTCTCTCTCTCTCTCTCTCTCTCTCTCTCTCTCTCTCTCTCTCTCTCTCTCTCTTCTCTCTCTCTCTCTCTCTCTCTCTCTCTCTCTCTCCTCTCTCTCTCTCTCTCTCTCTCTCTCTCTTTCTCTCTCTCTCTCTCTCTCTCTCTCTCTCTCTCTCTCTCTCTCTCTCTCTCTCTCTCTCTCTCTCTCCTCTCTCTCTCTCTCTCTCTCTCTCTCTCTCCTCTCTCTCTCTCTCTCTCTCTCTCTCTCTCTCTCTCATTTACTCTCACTCTCTCTATCATTTACTCATTCTCTCACTCTCATTTACTCTCTCTCTTTCTCTCTCTCTCTCTCTCTCTCTCTCTCTCTCTCTCTCTCTCTCTCTCTCTCTCTCTTATTTACTCATTCTCTCCCTCTCTCATTTACTCATTCTCTCCCTCTCTCATTTACTCTCACTCTCTCTCTCATTTACTCATTCTCTCACTCTCATTTACTGTGTCTGTCTGTCTGTCTCTCTCTCACTCTCTCATTTACTCATTCTTTCATTTACTCTCTCTCTCTCTCTCACTCTCTCATTTACTCTCTCTCTCTCTCTCTGTCATTCACTCTCATTTACTCATTCTTTCATTTACTCTCTCTCTCATTTACTCATTCACTCATTCTCTAACTCTCATTTACTCACTCTATCATTCTCTCATTTACTCTTTCATTTACTATCTCTCTCTTCCTCTCATTTGCTTCCCCCCTCTCTCTCTCTCTCTCTCTCTCTCTCTCTCTCTCTCTCTCTCTCTCTCTCTCTCTCTCTCTCTCTCTCTCTCTCTCTCTCTCTCTCTCTCTCTCATTTGTTCTCCATCCACCTTTCTCTTTCTCTCTCTTTTTTACATCTTTATTTATAATCATCATACAAATATATATAGGGTGAAACCAATTTATTTTTGCGGGTTAAAAGTTACCTATTCAAAGGAGCTTATTTGAAAACCCAACCTAATTGTTTGAACACAATAACCAGCTCTATCTGTGAAACTAAACAAACAAAAGGAATTAATTAATAACAAGTTTATATACAGTGTTGCCTTATGTATCGCAATGAGTGTACAGGAAATTCAGTGGTGACGGTTTGCTCAACTGCCATCGGTGAACCACTGTCTTCACTTGCTTCGTGGTCATTTCGGCGACATCGGTGGTGGATGTGAATTCATTCCACATTCGTGCTGCTTTGGCTGAGAAGGTGCGCTGATGCTGGCTAGACCGTGACTTGGGAACTTCCACCAGGAGCCGATTAAAGTGCACCGTCCTCGTACTTCTCTCTCGGCCGTGCGGTGGGAGACGGAGACTGGATAGATGCACTTGCTGCACCTGAGGCTTGTGGAGCACTGTTAGAGCCCCGACGCGTCGTCGCGACGATTTTCCAGTGAGTCGATGTGACAAGGGTTGTTGGCTTCCTGGATAAGCCTGAGAGCCCGTTTTTCTATTTTATCCAGCCTGCTGTGGTTGGTGGGCGCAGTAGAAGACCAGGCCAACGAGGCATATTCTAAATGTGGTCTGATCTGGGACTTGTACAGCGTCAGAATTCCTTGAGGATTCAGGAGGTGAGATATACGTCGGAGAGCTGTCACGTTCAGAGAAACTGTTTTGCAGATCCTGCTGACGTGTCTGTTAAATCTAAGCTCGTTGTCGATGTCCACACCAAAGATTGAGATGAAGTCCTCGAGTGGAAGGGCGGCGTTGTTCATTATGATCTTGTCCTTTATGGCGTCTGATGCAGCTGGAGACCGGGATACAGCCATTGCCTGGGTCTTGTTGGCGGCAAAACTTACTTGCCATTGTGATCCCCAGTCGTGGATTGCTTGTAACTTCTAATTCATATCCATTGCTACAGTGTCATGATCCTCACGCTGGTATGAAATACAAAGTGTGCAGTCATCAGCTTACGCTGAGATTTCGGGATGTTCTCTAAGCAAATCATCTATGTAGATGTTCCATAGGATTGGCCCAAGTACAGATTCATGTGGTACCAACGCTTGTATCGGGTACTTTCTGGATGACTGGCCACCGATGACTGCTTGCAGTGCTCTTCCAGTGAGGTAATCACCAAAGAGCCGCAAGAGGTTGCTGCTTATGCCTCTTGCTTGTAGTTTAGCGAGGAGCCCTCTGTGCCACACACAGTCGAAGACGCCGGCGATGTCGAGGGCGATCACCTAAGTATCTTGACTGGCGTCCAGAGCATCCTGCCAGTTTTTACTTAGTAGGAGAAGATCAGCAGTCGATCGAGAGGAACGAAAACCAAACTGATGGAAATAAGAGCTATTCAGCAATTTTTTCAAATACCTTGCTGATGCACGGCAGGAGGGAGATGGGCCGGTAGTTGTCTGGATTTGTATTGGATATATATATATATATATATATATATATATATATATATATATATTTTTTTTTTTTTTTTTTTTTTTTTTTTTTTTTTTCTTTCTTTTTCTTTTTCTTTTTAATGCAGAGGAATCACTTGCTTCCTTCCAGAAGGTGGGCCAGCAGCTTTCTTCGATGCATGACTGGAAGATGGATGATAGCTCGGCTGCACACCTACGGAGCGCGTGAGGGCTGATATCATCTGATCCTGGTGCTTTCTTTTTTGTTCTGGTGTCACAGATTTGAAGACCAGGAAGTTGGTCATGGCATACGGAGGGTATCTCTGGAGGGATTCTGTTTGCATCTGACACTGTCATTTTTCGACTAAAAAAGCTTCCCAGAAGGTCAGCTTTTTCTCGTTCCGTCGGGCTTGGTTAGTGGAGGTATTGTGGATTCCCGGGTGTCCCCTTGGTGCTCCTTGATGAGTGACCACCACCCCTTGCTGCCTGCTCCCAGAGTTGTTAGTTTCCTTTTCATTTCCGCTTGCCATCTGTTACGAGCCCATTTGCATGTGACTGTCATTTCTTTGCATGTATCTGTATTTCTTTTTGGACGCTTGATAGCATATGTAGCTGGTTTTGTGGTGTATGTCCGCGAAAGGACGCATTTCTCTTGTATTTCGGCGAGGAGGCTGGTGATGGAGGATGATTTGTCATTTGCGTTCCCCGCCAGAAGAGCATCCCAGTCTTGTGCCTGAAGTTTTGCCTTCATACCTGGCCAGTCTGCGTGGTTTCAATGCCATATTTTTCTTTGATTTTGTAACCTGCAGATGTAAGGAAAAGGTGTGACATAACTGCAAGGTGATCTGGCGTTCTTATTATGCCGAGCGGTGAGTAGGAGATAAAGTCCTCAGTTAGATCTGTTATAACAGGATCTAGAGATCTACCAAGGATGTGGGTCGGGAAATCCACGTTATCTGTCAGCCCGTGAACCGAGAGGTCCTCGTATGCTGACGGAATGAGATGGTGGTTAAGGTCCTCAACTATTAAGAGATGCTGACAGTTGTTGCGAGCCTGAAGGACGTCTAAGTTTTCCGTTAGGAAGTTTATCGAAGTTCTGCCTTGCCATTGCGGCCTGTAATGAGCGCAAAGTAGCGGGGACTCATTTGACTTAAGTACGAGCTTCAAAAAGAGAGCTTTCAGCCAGTCTGGTAAGTCAACTGTTAGCAATTGAATCTGTAGATTCTCTTTGTAGCATACGGCCACACCTCCAAAGTTTTTTTCCTATCCTGTCTCTTCTTTGTCACTGTGAGTAGCCTCGTATCTTGCCAAAAATAGGATCTACCTCTGTATTCAGGAAGGTTTCAGTAGCCACTATTATGTCGGCACTGACGCTGAGGGCTTCGTGAGTCAGCTCACCAATATTGGTTCGGAGGCCTCTGACATTAGCAAACAGAACTGAGAGGTGTCTATGGCTGGTATTTTGACGAGTATGAATCAGTGATGCCATTTAATACACTGCCCCTTGGTGGCTATTAAAAATAGAAGTTCCCAGCAAAGTAAAGGAGGGGTCGAGACCTTGTCTGTTCAATATTGGCGCGTTGGATGCTCACCATAGCCACGTCTTGTTAAAGCTTTGGAACGAACGAACCCAAGGTAATAATTTTTCGGAGAGTTTTATACAAAAACTACTCATTCACATTGTATCTTCCCCGCTTTCCTTTCTTCTGCCGTACTTAATGTTTCTCAAATATTTTAAAAAGTGTGCATCGGCCGGGAATCGAACCCGGGCCTCCCGCGTGGCAGGCGAGAATTCTACCACTGAACCACCGATGCTACTTATTTTACGTTTTAAATGTGAATATATCAGTTATTGGAGAAGGTAAGTGGAATCTTCGGTCATGTTACATAATATTAACGGGTCGTTGAAGCGTTACTAATAATCAAGATGTTAACATAAATTAAAAACCACGAAATAGACAAATCAGTTAAGGGATTATTAGCTTCTCACATGTATTAAACATTGTTCTCTGATTTTTGAGTGGAGGCTTATGTGTATGAATATGTGTGCTAGATTTTAAGTGCAAGCAAGTACACACACTACCCCTTCTGACAATTCACAGGAGAGATGAGACAGCACTTTCGGACATGAAAGTGAAAGCATTATTAATATTATTTATTTATTTATTATTATTTTTAAACTGCCGATTCATCTTTGCAACTGAGGTATTAAAGGCATAAATAGAGAAACAGCTTGTAAAATATTATTCAAAGACAGAACAGTTATTCGTGACACATTATTGGTTAATTTTTCTAGGTTGTCTTCCTAAGGCTTTGTGAGTGGTTTCATTGTCTCAGACTCGCTTTTTCTTCTTTCATTTGTAAAAGAAAGGGATATTCATCAGGCTAGACACCCAATCTTCCGGCAAAGATACAATGGCAAAAAAATATACCAAGGAGGAATCTTCATACTGGGCGCCAGATGTCTTTCGTGGTAGAAGGGCAGCAGTGACTCCACATTCTGTCAAATGCTAACATTTCTGGAAATGTGTGTGCATTGTTAGTTCCCTGATAATGAACAAAGGAAAGGATAAGTACATGCGCCCTGATAGTGCATGTTACTCTACTGCAGATTCAGTTCTTGCTGTGTGATTATCCAGGGAGAGCAGTCACTCCGGATATTATGGTAACAGCTTTACCAAAAGAGGTCATATGCTCAGTAGTTCACGACGTGGTAGAATAATTCGAGTTTTGAATCATGGGAACTTCTGTTTTTTCAACCTCTATCCCTGCAGAGGAATCCAGCGAGACCTTGACCAAATGTACGTCAACTAGCTCAGAGTAATTGATCGTTAACTACTGCAGTAATGGCAGGCTATCTGATTATATCTACTAAATTCAAATTAATCAATTACATTAATTACAGTAGGTACTCCTTTTACATATATGATGTTTACTTTATGTAATAATATGTTATGAACATAGATGATAAGCAATGCGTGTGACACAAAATTACACAGAACACATATCAAAAGTGACTGAAATATCGTGCTTGTTTTGATGTTTAAGCGCCTAATGGCATTGATATTTCAGTAGATGTTCCTTCACTTGCTGGAAATATTTCTAATATGGTAATTGCTTCCAGATTACCTCGTATTCACACATATCTCGCCTCGGTTTCCGTATTCGATCTTTTGTTATATAAGCAGCTATTTTGCCTTGTATGGATACCCGTTGTGTTACCTGTTGCCTGTATAGGTAATAGCTAATTTGGGTAATTTCCTTGTATGATTTTATGGATTAGAATACATGTATCACAGTTGTATTTCTCTTGTACTCGTAGCGATTTTAGTTTGTTCATATGTGGGGTGATGTGGTTACATATTTCCTAGTGCTACTCTTGCTGCAAAGTTCTATAGTTTATGTGCCCTCTGTATATGGGTTTTATTTGTGGAGTAATTAGGTAGTAATTAATTATACGAAGTGCTAGTGTTTGCATAACAGTAATTCTTGTTTCCGTGGGTATTTAATTTTTTATGCAATTTAAGTATATCAGAGTGCCCATTACATTTCTGTAGATATAGTCAATGTGTCTCAAATGCCATGCATCTGTCGATGTATACTCCTAGATTTTTTTTTTTTTTTTTTACTGTTGTGTTGGGTTTGATGTTGCAACCTTGGAATTCTGTAACTGTACCTGTGGGTATTTTTGCTATGTACTGTTGTTTTAATTTATTTTTATTATTTATGCCAGTTAACTTTGCATTTGATTTGTTTAGATAATTTAAATCACTTAGGATAAACTAAGGTTTTTTCTTTATTGGCACTTCTCTGAAAATATTTTCAAGACAGTCAAAGGATTCTGCAGTGGCATGTGGGTGTCTATAGATTGTGCCGACGAGGAAGGAAGGATGCATACTACTTTTTACGGTTACCCAAATGCTGTATTACTTACAGTTGTAGAGGAAAACTCATTTGATTTAAGGATATCTCTTACATATATCCAGACTCCACCCCCACGACCTGCATCACATTTGTAAATATGAAAGTTTGGAATGCTAATGAAACTGCTTCATTTTCTTGGTGAAGCCAAGTTTCACTAATGTACATGATATCAATATTTCTCTCCTTAATTATTAATTCGATTTCTTCGAAGTGTCCGAGGATAGACTATGCACTGATGTGCTCTATTCTGATAGTGTTTTGTGCTTTGACCGCCAGATGTGCAGCGTCAAACATTCTGCTCGTCTTTGTACTTGTTTCTATTATGGAACACCTTTACATTATTAGGAAAGACGTCGGACGCTAAGAAAATATCTGGGTTAATATCCTTGCCTCTTATAGTTGACTGTGAAAGTTGAGTAATAATTGGGCGCAATTTTTGTGTTGAATGCTTTCACACTGAAAATATTGTCGAATTTCTTTTCGAGGAAGGCCTCAATATC